CCCTTATTTAATGGAATAAGCAGTAGATCCAAAATCGTCAATACAAGCCCTTGTCTGATCAGTACGTCCTTGCCGGCAAATTCATAAGATCCATTCCTAACGAATGCTGCGTATTTGTTACAGATATTCTCAAAACCTGAGCCGGATATGCATAACTGCCATAAGCAACACYGTGCTTGCAGTAAGTTACGCTACAGACGTTTGGGGGTGATTTTTTTATTTCATAATGTCAGCAAAAGCATAGTGAGGTTTACAAAATTCAGTTTATCAACTTGTCTATTATAAAATCCAATGATTACATTATTTATAGTTTCATATTAATGCTTTAGCAGTAGCTATTTCACAATATACTAAATCTACAATCCGAGCTTGCAAATTTAATAGTAGTGTCRTACATAGTGAAAAATGTAGCCTGTGTACATTCGTTTCTCACCACTCCCAAAAAATCCCCGATTTTTTTGGAGGGGTGAGAAACGGATGTACACAGGCTATGAAAAATGTAGAATCAATAAGCTTAAAGAGACTCTTAAAATACCGCATGGACCAAAAACAAAAGAAATTCAAAATGAAAAAAACTGTCAATAACTCGATAACTAAACATAAGCTCAGCGATAGAAAATTTGATTCAAATAGGCATGTATGTATGACGTCATATATACCAGATTTCATGTAAAAAGCTCGGCTGTTTTTGATGTATTGAATTCAGATATAAGCAGATTATTGTTTCATTGATTTTGGTCCAACTATGCATTCATAGTTTTTCACTACCTAACTACACCAATGACATTGGTAATTCTGGAGCACATTTTTCTGTAGCTTGCCCTATATTTTGAAATATGCTAGATTCCGTTTTTCTTTAACTCTTCTACAATTYTTAATCAGCGCAAAAGCATTTTTACGTTACATAGTCTTCAGTTCCATTTTAATTTTTTCAAAGCTTCCGTTTGTCGATGATAAAGACTGCCTTAATTGCACGGCCCACAACCCACAAAGKATTCCGAGCTGTGCAATGATTTTTATTGGAGAAGACCGGTGAAAGGAAATTACTTATAAATTTGCCATATAAAAAAGTGTAAATTTTTATCCAGGGGCGGATCAAGCAATCGTTCAGGGGGTGTTCAATTCCAGTGACTTGCGCATTAGTTTTAACTAAAATGTGGACAGTTTAAATTTATATCAATAGAAAGTTTGTTACTGTCTACCTGGAATAAACCTTAAAAACTTGTTTCCTATTATAACATCAAGATGCAGTATGGAGGTTGAAATGAATGTTTAGCTGTACTTTTAAAACTGTTTAAGATCCGTTTTTGGAATTGATCACATTTTCGCCTATTTAGCTATTCTCAGATGCCACTAGTGTTGTTCTAGTAGTAACTTGGTCTACATTTATACACCACTTTAATAGTGACAATTCCTTCAGCAAAGGCATATTAATAGGAAAAGATATAGCCATTAGAAAATCCCAGAAATTTGTAAGTTAAAGCAAGTACTTTTATAAGACTACAACACGTCAAAAGACTATTTGTAAATATATTCCATTGGAACATTGCRAAACTAAACGCGCAAAATCCACGTTGAAATGGTGTTTTAAATACATATCATGGTGAAATATTGTGTCAGGTGTCCCTTTATCATATCCAAATTAAAAGTGCGGCTTAATAAAATCGTAAGAATTGCTTGGAAGCTTTCGTACAAAGTACTCAGTCATTAYTTCAGTCAAGTTTCGTTTATCTAAWGMAAAATCTAATTCATTATAGTCCGGAAAGACTCTGGGCTTACATTCGTTTTCCAAAAAAAAAACAATCTACTTTTTCAGTCATGATCTCGCCAAGAACAGTCACTAGAAAATGATGAACCAGACGCAAGTCGTTTGTTTTATAGTGCAAGACAGCTTTTTGAAATATAGCAACGAAAATGAAGGGGGGTTTCAGGTGCTSTGGTTGACACCCCCCTTAATCCGCCCCTGTTATCGATTGAAATTCATTCAAGAAATTGTGAGCCATCAAACTGTCAATACATGGCTTGAAACTGATATAGGGAATGCTATTGATAAAATCCCGAGTTGATATTGCCAGTTTTCATATCCAGCCCGACTTTGTTTGGAAGTTGTTCTCCATGAAGGAAGTCCCGGCCTGACATCTCAATATCTTTGCTATTCTGATCATCTTCATCGTTTAGAACTCCATTTGATTGCTGTTTTYTCTTMAGCTGATACAGTCGACGTTTAAGTGGGTTTTTGTACCTGTACACTACAACCACAGCAAAGATGATAATAACAATCCCAACACCAACCAAGACAAGGATAAGAATGGGATTTGGCTTCGTGGATACGTTTGGTTTCTTTGTTTCCGTATCTGCACAACGAAACGTAAATTATTAGAATAAGGGATCAAGCTTTAAAACCTGAGGCAGATATATATGAATACTATATGTTGACAATCAATAGTTGTACCTTTTTCTTTTAGAGACTCAGGATAAACATCGATTGTTCCCAGTTTACCCTCTTTCACACTTTCCTTTAGTGATTGAAGGGGATTGTTTTGTTTCTTCCAAAAAGTGAGTTGAAACTYCACAATAATGCTTCCTGGTCTGTAAAATGAATTTTCGTTGATTGTTATTTTCATCTATTTTTATGCTTGTYCAGGACATTTCAATAAATCATCGTTACGGTTAACGTGGCGGAACATAAATTATACTGAAATTTGTCTTATTTATACCAAGACGCAGCATGAAAATTGCCGTCATTATTGTGAGTACTAAGAACTGAAATGGGATGTTCTGAAAGGTATCCAATCAAAGGTTCTAACCTCAAAGAAATGACTTTAACTTTTTTTAACACAGCACCTGTACTTCTTGCATAGACTTTAAATATCTATATAAGAGAAAAAAATGAAGATTCTGACTGAAGTGATTTTGTTCATTTTGTTTTTATTAACCTTCAAGATATTGGATGGTGGCTGAGTAAACTAAGCTATTATTAAGATRATATTATAGGCTTTCTGAGAGGAAACTCAGCGAAGTTAAGATATAGCCAAAATTGAGTGGAATAGTCATGTGACTAATGTCGTAAAACAAATTGGCAAGTGTTCCATTAGTATCTCACGAATGAATAAAGCCGACGAGTGAGATATCAATTGAACACTAAGGAGAAATTTGTATCTCCAAGCGGCCTTGTAATGTTCTGTTTATCATATAAAGACTCAAATTTATATCAAAGGCAAGAAAAAGAATAGRACAATTTTGTATGTAGTATCCATGGTGACCACTGACGTGTTATTTTACATGTGAGATCTTTAGGGCGACAACCTTACAATTTTTACTATTAAAAAAAATATAGTAAAAATTACTATGAACAAACAACTTAAACCTTAAAATTACAAGAAAAAACTCGATCAACTAAACAAAGAAACATTGAATCTACAGGGCAACATGAGATATAGATCAGCCTCACAAATAACAATGACAACCGATTTAGTTGAAATAATGAGCATTACTTACTTCTTGTTCGAAATTTCGCGCAAATATTTGGAACTCTGCTCCTTCACTGTCGAGAAATACCTTGTTCCATTCCTTTTTGATCCTTAGTTCTGCGCTCACTTCAAAAAAAAAAAAAAAATAGAAAAAAGACGTCTTATGATTATGCATATACAATTCAGCTGGACAATAGCTACAAAGCAAGGAAAATTAAAGTTACCTTTATATTCAGTAACTGCATTAACAGAAGAAGTAGGAGATATCATGGCCTTTGTCTTTGAAGGGCGAATAAACTGAGACATCGTAGACGTTAAGGAGCTTATCTCACGAGATGCGACAGAAACGGTAGAGCTATGAACGTTTGATGTAAAGATTGATGATGTGGAGCGAGAATCTGGTACAGCAGAAACAGAGGTTGGGCTTACGTCTAGGACTGCAAACGAAGTCGTAGACTCTGATAAGAAAGAGGCAATTGAGCTAGTCTCTCGGGATGTGTCAGTAGCTATAGACCTATGAACACCAGAGGTAACAAATGAAGATRCCGAAGATGTGTCAGTAGYTATAGACCTATGAACACCAGAGGTAACAAATGAAGATGCCGAAGATGTGTCAGTAGCTATAGACCTATGAACACYAGAGGTAACAAATGAAGATGCCGAAAAAGTGGCTAGTACAGAGAAACTAGACGTTGTACTCGGTTCTTTGACTGCAAACCTAGATGATGTGATTATAGAAGAAGTGGAACTAATCTCCGGGGATGCGTCAGTAAGTATGGATCTGGATGCGGTTGAAGCAGATGTAGAGTAAGTCTTTCGAATAAGTGGAGAAGTATATGTTGTGCTAAGTCTTGAGGATGTAAACATAGGCGTAGAAGTACTCGGTTCTATAAAAGAAAAAAACCAAAAAGTTAGAGTTCTGAGATACAGCTTAGGGATATATATCCTGTTGTACTCAATCTAGTTATCACACACAGATTGCTTCATTACATTAATCTAGATTGAAAGGTTAATTGATTTTTTTTTGATGGGCAAATTTTTCCGTTCGCAAATAATTTTGGAATATATAATTGTATATATTTGGAATATATATTGTTGTTTTTATCGACACCCCTGAAGTCTACAAGCTCAAAAAACACTAGCAAAGGTGCCCTTGCATGATCTAAGCAGTGTCATAAAAATAGCTATAAATAATATTCCGTTGTATGGGTAATCGACGCTAATCCATGAGAAAAAGAAATATAAGTTTTTATTTCTTYACCCATRGAGCAGTTTTTTCCATCTCCAGTCATCCCATTGGGACAAGGACCACAGTGGGTTCCAACGACAGTCTCTGTACACTTAACACCAGTAAAGCACGACTGATTTGTGCATTTATGAATCTTTTGATCACATGAGGATCCTTTGAATCCGATATCACATTTACAGGTGTAGTTGTTGATTCCATCTATACAAGTGCCTGAAAAAAATTACATGCAAAATAATAGTCATAATACAATGCATGGTAAGCAACACAACGACGAACTTTTATCGACCACTTATATTATTTGTTAACTAAGTTTAACTTAAGTATTTCGTTGGATGGCATATCTTCAAGCCGGAGGCGAGAGATCATCAAACTTTCAGTTGAGTGTTTTCCCAATATCCCAAGTGGTTTATTTCACCAGTAGGAACGCACGGAAATGTGTTGTTTATTGCTTTTATATTATAGCATTTTCGTCTCCGTGCTTTACCGGTGAAATAAACAATAACATTTGACCAGTCAGAGTTTAAGGCGTAAATCTGATTTTGGGCGATTCCAACAAGTTGTGGACATTACATTCAGAGGCCAATTCTAAGTGTGCTTTCCATTTGTCAGCTGGCTGGCCAGACCCAAAGAAAATATCATTATATTATATCATTCCCATTTAGTTAGGAAATTCAAATTTTCAAATTCTATCCATTATTCTACAGAAAACCTCGAAATGACTGAAAAATGTTGACAAAAAGCGTTATATACCTCTAAATATAGTGGACTGGCCGGCCAGTTCTGCCTAAAAATCTTTAACTTCCTCTAAATTCTTTGCTAATTCAATCTAGAAGCTAAAAGTTATATGTTGGATACTTAAATGGAGTTTCTATAATTTGGAACAAAACGTTTTATTTTTTACTTTTTGTCAACTGAAAATTAAGCTCTTTTAAAAACTKTGTTGTGGACGTTACATATGAAACTTCGAACAGCTTTAAATTTGGTCGATGTTTTAGTCGAAATTCGACTCCTAATGCGATGCGCCTTTGCACAGCTGTCAACTAATGACTTAACACTGCAAAAATGCTTGTTTTATCGAGTCAGTTGATTTTCCGGGCCTGAGACAAGTAAAATCCGTGACAAATACCGCCATTTTGCTACTGTGTACGAGAAACGTCTGTACAGAAAAATGCAAAAAATCTACCGTACCGGCACGGTAGATTTTTTGCATTTTTCTGTACAGACGTTTCTCGTACACTGTGGCAAAATGGCGGTTTTGACACGGATTTTACTTGTCTCGGGAGAGCTCATGGCTCAGGAAAATCAACTGACTCGATGAAACAAGCATTTTTGCAGTGTAATAATTCATAAAAGTTCTGAAAATCGCTCCAGATATTACCGGTAACTATAATAATCCACACAGCAAGTTACAGTGAAATTTCATGTATCTTTATGCTATAAATCGACTGTTTACATAGTCTCACATACATACTCTCTTTTATTATATAGCACGGATGTAACACACGATTTCAGTGGCTAAAAAGCGGGCCATACTTTCCCGTACGGACCAGAAAAAACGTTTTTCATCTTAAAAAATCTCGCTTTCTTTCTTTTTGCAGTTGTACTGTATACAAAAGAGTCAAAAATGAATCCAAACTTTGCCATCAAAGTTTCTCAGGCTTTTTCCTTATATTTTGAATGACAAGAAAAGTACGAACGAACACGTATTTTTATGTCCGATTCTCTATTAATTTTACTATTTTCCCCTGAAAATATTAACCTCGCTTGCTCGAGCCGTACGGGAAGTTATGGAACCTCGTTTTTCTCAACTACGCGCTCTGGCCATAAGTCAGTGGAAAAAACTCGGTCCATAACTTCCCGTACGGCCCTCGCGCTCGGTTAATAAGATATTAATATCAAGTAAAGAGCTTGGGCTACCCGTAATGAAACTACCACATATTCAATTGCTTTTCTTTCATGCATTTTCCTGTGATTTGAAAGATGTTTAACAAAAGTCATTATTATATTTTTTTTCAGTATATATTATTATAATATATTTTTTATCTTCAAAACATTGCGTTGCTGACATTACCTCTAAATTCGTTGTGGACACTACATTGCGGTTCTTTAAAGCTTTTGGCATTTTAATGACAGGTATATAAATTGGTCTGTATTCAACAATTTTCTAATTATTTTGTTCGCTCACTTACATAACTTCACACCTTCAATATCGGACATATCAGAGGAGTAACCAGGATTTTCATTGTGGTTATCCTTAAATACAAAATTGTCAATATGAAGTCATATATGACGTCTATGGCTTTCGCGCAAAAGAGTCGTGGTCGATAGAGGAGAAAAGAAAAGCATATGTTACTCGAACTCTGTGTCAAGAAGTTCGCGGGCTTTTTTGATTTTGGAAATGTGCATCACCAAATATGGAACGTCTTCATTGCAGGAAGCCCAATTGATGGCTCTTGATTTGAATTGAAATGAACCAGGTCCGAGAAGACAGAAAACAGAATTTCTTAATTTGGTAATTCGAAACATATCCTAACACACTGCACCAACGGTTAGCTTTTTGGCTTAGTGAAAGGGGGGCGGGGAACGGTTAGTTTTGTTTCCCTCGAATCCTCGGCGTACCTCGGGAAACATTGAGATTCTCGGGAAACAAAACTAACCGTTTCCCTTGGGAACAGTCATTAAGTGTATATTATTATATATCAAGTGTCAAAGTTCACTTTTCCTAGTATMTTATTRGWYKAGAGTGTACCACGTGAAAGTCACAAAATTTTACTGTTTCCCGGCAACTGTCCACCAGCGGTCAATAATATGTTGTGGACCGTCAATAAGTACAAAGTCGCAGAAAAACAATCTTCAGTGTCGTGAAAATGTCACATTTACGGACGTTGCAATTCCAAAATTGTTATGAAACATTTAATTTCGACTACAAATAGTTAAATTAGTATTCATTGTGTTATTACATTAGAACGTATTCGCATAACCCACTTTTTAAATGCTAATGAGTTTGCTAATATTCTAATGAGATTGGCACAAGAAACAAAAGAGCAAAAACATGCTTGAGTGATTTCAATAGCGAATATTATTTCAAAACTAATTTGAGCTCAGTTCAATAAATGCAAAATTTCAAAAGGAACATTTTTATTTAAGCTATACAGCTATCTCAACTTCTCGTAAACTACAAGTGCAAGTAATTAGATTAGACACGGCAAAACATCGACGTCTGAAACGGACCTCATTGTCCAGAATTGGTTTTGATTCTAGTATCGACGGGTTGTGGAAGTCTGCAATGCTTGTTTTATAATTCTTC